CTAAACGTTTCGTGGTATATTTTCTACTGGTATCACAGTAATACATTTAAAAGAGCATAATTGATACATAAAAAACTCACGCATATGTATATCTATTTAGACAATTAAAGCAAATATAAATTCTTCAGGAGAAGGTACATCCAGCTGACGAGTCCCAAATAGGACGAAACGCGCGTCCTGGATTCCACTGCTAGCCACTATCCATCTTTGCTTATAATGCTTAAGTATGTAACTTGAAAAACCGAAAAAAAGTTAGGACAGGTGAACATGTTGATCGTCCGTTTCTCAATTATCCTCTAACTTATTATCAGTTAAACCTTAGCTACAGTATTTATCTCGGTGTTGGCCATGAGATATATTCTTGTCATTTTTGAAATATGGTTGTTTTGATAAATCGTCGTTCTAGCTCATGAAAAAAAGTTATAGCAATCATCTGTCATGTTGCTATTTATTTGCTGAACAGTTGAACGTATTTTCAAGTTTTTTTCGAAGGAGAATATTTTCTATTTATGACTAAAGTGTTCTTATCAGTCCTGATTATGTGATTTCATGTTTTTTATGATAACCCAAAAAAGAAGAACCTTGAGTGGAAAGTAGTAAACACAACAGTCAATTTTAAATCGATTAGATGCAAGTTTGAACTCCATTCTACTCAATTCAGTTTGGGTAACCCAATACTATCGCTACTCTTTGAACATAAAGTGTAGTTCAATTTTGAATACAAAAATCTGTAATTTCAACAGTTGAGATCATGAGTCGATTGAAGCTAGACCACCATGGGAAATCTGGAAGTACTGGACAGCCGCCTCGTCTTATTGTGGGACTCCTCAGCAGTGCTCATCCACGACCCTGCCCCTCGGGATTCGAACCAAAAACCTGTCAGTCTCGTGCGTGAGCGCTTAACCACTAGACAACTGAGCCGGATGGCATCCAACAGTATTAATGTCTAACTTCGACTAATTAGCCCCCAAATGCCCTGGTACGGCCGAGAGTGGGGAGAGTCCGCTCTCCCTCTCGAAATGCTCACACATGGCCATGCGTATATAGCCTCTGCCAGGGAAGTCCTGCCCACTGCCTTCTCGTGGCGGGGGTGTTGTTAACAAAAATGAGAGGACGAAAAGCGAATGTCCGGTGCTTTAACCGGACCCCAAATCAATGGTGCACATGGGCTCCAGTATCCTGAAGGAAAAAATGGCGTATGAACCAATCGTTGGTCACCGGCTACCATGGGACTGCATCTCCTCACGATGCTCCACTGCCTTGTGGGTCAGACGTCCAGGTCGAAGGCTCGGGGTGTGGCCCCCTAAGAAAACCACCTGCTTCGGTTTGGGCACCCGGGCAGTATCACAGCCCTCACACAAATCAATTGAGATTCGTGTGGCGCATATGTATTCGGTGCCTCCCTGTACCTATACTTATGTGTTAAAATAAAATTAATAAATAATAAATCGACTAATTCACGAAATTGAGCGACATCCACCACTGTCATCAGTCAGTTACCATCTCACAACAGATTGATAGGTCCTGGGTTCGAATCCCCCAAGGCGGGGTCATGGATGAGCACTGCTGAGGAGTCCCACAATAGGACGAGGCGGCTGTCCAGTACTTCCAGGTTTCCCATGGTGGTCTAGCTTCAATTGACTCATGATCTCAACTATCGAGATTACTACAATCTCCACAAAACCCCTTTTGATCCAAAAATCATTCATTAAATTTGTTTATATTATTAAGTCTATATACAATATCTTTATATTTAACTAAAGTAAATATTTATTTTACATTACTTACTTTCTCAGTCAATAATTTATACTTTTTCATTGGTTTTATGTTTATATTTTTCAAATATTAATAATCTATCATTGAGTGTAATTGTTTTTATTATGGATACTATAAAAGTATTTTAATGGATATTTTGGCCAGACTATCATTTATGGACGAACCGATGACGTATAAGATAACAGGTTTCAAGTTCATTCATTCGTTTGGATAAGTACAGTTTTATCATTATAGCTGATGTCAGTTCGTGATAAAAACCATAAATTTAATTTCTAACCTGAATCACCAACTGTAAATCATAATTGCAATTCCTCACACAGGTTTATAACCTTCATTCGGTTCTGGTTATTAGGTGGATACTAAGTCAGTCTGGCGTCTCTCAAAGGTCGTCCATAAATTATAGTCTCACCAATATTTTTTTAATCGTATCAATTGAATTTACAGTGAAATAGTATAGATTATCTTTTAAAGCCTAATCTATTTTCTTCATATATTGTCTAGTAAATTGAATTTCGAATGGATCAAAAGCTAATTTCACCGAGTAAAGATTTAGAAATTTTTTTTTGATTGGATATCAACTTTTCAATATATTTAAAAGTATCAAAATGAAAGTGTCTAAATTGCACAAGCAAGTGGCTATCAGGACTCAGTAGCCAAGTGGATAACGCAGTGGCGTTTGAAGCGAACGGTACTGGGTTGGAGTCTCAGAGTAAACATCGACTCTGAGATGCAGGTACATCCAGCTGACGAGTCCCAAATAGAACGAAACACGCGTCCTGGATTTCACTGCTAACCACTATCCATCTTTGCTTATAATGTCTAGATTCTAATCTACATAGATCTTACTATATACATCTTTTAAAAACTTGTTAGCATACTGGCTATCTAACATCTACAAAATTAATCTAGTGTTTAGATTCATTACGAACTGTTTATATCATTATTTGCTACATTCATAATTTTAAATCATCAAAATATAACCATTGTTGAAAAATGTATATTCTACAATCAGTATTTTCCCTTAGTTGGAATTGTGGAATTATCATTAGTCAAATACAAACTTTGTTTTTATCTATTACGGTTTGACTCAAAACAATGACTGTCAGGGACATATATCGCTTGTTTTATTATGAATTCGTTAAGTTAGATGATTATAATGATTACTCAGCAAAATAATAGCTAATCATTTCAATGATTAAGATCATGAGTCAGTTGAAGCTAGGACGAAACGGCCGTCCAGTGCTTCCAGGTTTTCCATGGTGGTCTAGCTTCAATTGACTCATGATCTTAATCATTGAAATTACTACAATCTCCACAAAACCCCTTCTGATAATAGCTAATCATCTCGAATCGATAGTAATTGATGTCATTAGTGCTATTATAATTACTTATAAATTCAGTTTCGTAACCATTAGTTGGAGACTGGGTGACATGACTCAGAATCGATCACAATGACGTAAGTGTATATACTCGTTGTCTTCCTTTAAACTGTGAGACTAAAATTACTTTATACCTTTCTTTCTATGAGCTAATTTTTCCTCCCTGTGTCATATCCTTATACGTAATCCTTCTTTTATATATTACTACCATTGAAGTAACTACTTTATGAATTCGATGTTCATCTTGTTGTGCTAATGAGGTATGGCAACTTGAACTGATTCATATATGTGCCTGGTCCTGATTTGTAGCTGACTGACTGACTATTAATGATTCTTAAGTTGAATTAGTTTGTAAATGATGTGGAATGATCATATGAGATACAGTTAAATTACCGACATTGTTCAACATTGATATCGAACTTAACCAAGTTGAATTAAGTCGATTTCAAAGTTTCAATAGCTAATTCTAAATATATTGAAGAAGTATTTGTGTTTTGATGAGCCAATTTTCGACATCGCTTGTCAGTAATATGAATTATAAGTTTAATTTGAACAAGTTTAGCTAAAAGCCTTGGTACTTTTTGAGGATGATACTTGTAATTAAATATCCTCATATTCAATTTTCTGATATCCTGACGATTGTGACGCATAATATAACTGCCGAGTTGAACATTTTTGATTTGATTATGGGCAAAATAAATGACTTACATTAAGTTACAAAACATCAAAAATACAATTGTTCTATTTATAACAAAAAAAGCTAATTATTTTTGATCTGATTATAGCTATTAAATGTTACGTATCCGTATCGTATCGAATAAGAGCGACATACTTGATTCATTATCATACACACACACACCGAACCACCAAATATTTGATTGTCTTATTTCAATTTAATAAGACAAATAAGTTGCTGATAGGCATGATCATCATCACCACCACATACAAATGACAAATTGATATCACTGAAGATTTTGAGTTAGCATTGAATCCAAATTATCAGTTACTCTTGTATCGTATTTTACTATTCATGATCAAATCTATTTCACTGATGATGAGATTTCAGTTATTATTCTTTGGTCTTTAGTCAAATTTAAGGAATAAAAACAAGCTTTTTTCATTACTACTGAAGATGTAATCAAGAAGTTGTATTTCATATGAATATATATGTGTATGATATATATCATGTATGCATAGTATTAATATGATAATTATTATGATAATAACAATATTTTAATTAAAAGATGATATACAAATTCATTAGTTACTAATCTAATTTTTTCAGAATATAGAAACCAAATGTCTTTTTTGTTTGAAGTATGATTAATCCAGGCGGATGACATTGTTGATTAAAACAAATCCAATATAGAAATTTAAGTTCAAAGTTAAATAAGTCCATGATAAAATGATCACAGTACATATGTATGATTTTCATTTATTATTCTATTATTTCAAGTTAGAATTGTTATATTATAAATAACAATTTTAATACAACATATATGTATATATGCATGTATGATTATTGGAATATAATTTGTACATTTCACAACCTGAGGGGTATACATGATTGAAGGGGATTTTGAGATTAATTAAAATCTCATTTGGTAAACACATGATTACATGTTTAAATGTATCATTGTGTATTCATTAGGTTTTATATAATTATAATAGTTGATTAATGTATTAATATAGACAAAATGTTAGCAGATTTAATAGTATAAAATGAACAAAAAATGTAAAGTACGTATAAATTTTATTTGAAAGTTCAATAATACTGTGAGCAACTTCGAGAGAAAGAGTATATATATATATATATATATATATATATATATATATATATATATATACTCTTGCAGAAATGTACACTAACATGATTATTAATTTATTATCCTAATATGCTTGGATATAAAGTTAATGATGTATTACTCTATTATTCTACTTACCAATTTATAAGTAGTATTCTTATGAATCAGTTAGATTTGGAAATTTGTGAAAAAGTATTTGATCCATTTTTTTGTTTTAACATAAATATGTGATTGAATGTGAATAAATAATGTAAATAAGTAATAAATAATGGAAATCTTTTATTATCTTACCATAAAATTAAATGGGTTAAGAGAAAACTGTTTTGAAAATTAGTTGTAATGAATAAATAAAATTTCGGTATCTTGATTTTAACAATCATTTTTTATATAAGTAACCCAACACAATCAGGAAACGAAAATCATAAGCAAAAAACTTACTAGAGAATCATAAAAAGGGAAAGAATCAATGTAAGTATAATTCTGCTTATTAATGAATGAAAAAATATCGAGTGGCGCTAAAAATAGATGTATAAATTTTTGAATTTTCTCTCTATTTCTTTCAATGTTTTTCCTCGTTAACCAGTCACACTTAGACCTACATCAGCACCAAGTGATTTAGCTATACTCCATTCAACAGGTTCATTTGATGGTTGTTTAGCCAACTGAGGATTTGAAAGGACTAGTTCACGCATTTCTGTAAATGCTGAATCAAGCATTTCTGCAAATTTCGATGCATTATTATTAGGATTAGTACGCCAACAAGAAATGACTACAACAATATTATCAGGATGTGGATTGTATGCAGCGCCGTATCCATTAGGCACAACTGCTCCATAACACATAAACGCATCCATTGTTGTTGGTACCTGAGTAAAATAAAGATAGTAGAAATAAATAAATTGACAATAAGTTATTTATTTTTATGATTTACATCACTGACTATCCTTAATCGGACAACCGTTGGATAACTAGGAGCACTGGATAGCTGTATCCCTCTAGTATGTATTTTATCAGCTGTGCATATCCAAAATTTACCCAAGTATCAAACACAGGATCTTCGGGTTCATGCTGGCACTTAACCTTCAGACCACTGAGTCGCCACTTGAGATTATTTCGTGATGTAAGTTATAAAATTCAGCAATCTCCACAGACCGTGATACTAATTCATTAGCTAACGATAACCACTTTCAATATAAAGTAATATCGAAAGCCTTTTTAATCAAAATAAACAGGTTGAAAATAGCTGCTTTTATATGTTGTTTATTTATTTCACTTATTTTTAAAACAGCAACCCCTTTTTTATCACTACATGTTTTTGAAACAAGAATGTGAAAGATGTATATCATGAAAATGATCGAAACTTATTGTTTATTCTTTTCTTAAAACGTTTATTAAGCAATTTCAAAAGTAAGTTTAGAAAATGAAAGTGTAATTGTCAAGTCGTTTGTTAAATTATCAATACTTATCTTATTGAAATGGTTTTTACATAATGTTTTATCCTGTTACTAAATTAACATGCTCATTTAATGTAGATTAGGAGTATTGTAGAAAAACCTCAAAGTAGTTAGATAGTGATCAGATGCTAATCTCCCAGTTCATCTATGCGTATCGTATTTCACATAACGAACTGCACAACTTTGAATTATTGGTTATAAACGCTTGGAGAAAACCGTTGACAAAACTTATTATTACTTTCAGGAATTGAGGTGTACTCAGTCTTGAAGCTTTTGTAACTCTATGAGTATATCTTGTTTCCTTTTATTTACAATAATTTCGTTTGTTAAATATTGGCTTATTTGATTGTCTGTACAACGTATAATAACTTAAAGAGACAAGCCATTACATCTATTAATATATTTCATATACATAGTTGCCTTTATTATTTTAAAGAGAGCAAGAACAATGTTCTGGAACCTTCCCTCCCAAAATTTGTTTATTCTAAACAAAATTTTATGACTATCATGATAAATATATTCATCCTTAATCACCCTCTTATGCGTAAGTATGTCAATATCTGAAATAACGTTGATTTTCAAATATTTTAGGTTGAGAACCTAACGAAATAAAATGAATTCATATTATTCTGCACCAATCTTTGTTCTTACTCTCTTTTCATATATGTTTCCCAATTTCTGTAAGTCACCTTGGAATGAAAATTATGCAACAACCGGGATTCCGAAATTACTTTCGACCATTAACAGACATTTTCACATGCCATAATAGATGATCTAATTTTTAGTTGACAAGAATTACTACTACTACTACTACTACTACTACTACTATTTTGAATGTTACTCACAAGACTGTTTGTATGTAGTAATTAGTTGAATTTGACGTCGAAGTTGTCCTAGTTGTCAGACAAGGAGAAAAGTTTTACTACATCAAATTAAGTCATAGACAGAACACTCGATGACTAGATGAGAAGAATGTTCGGACTTCAGAACACATCGCATGATGCAAATAGATGATAGAAGTCTATGTATAAGTAAGCTTTCTTTTTCTGCCCATTGCATTGTTTCGCACTAATAATAGTAATAATTCATCACTCTTGTCAAGATTTCATGAATCTTTGCAATTTAAAAAGACATTTGAAGATATTTGTTCAGTAGATTACTGATCATATATTATTTTAAGTCACAGATTAGTGTGTGGAGTATTTTTACTGTTGTGTTAAGGAGTTAATTTAGTTACACAAAAATTTTGAATTATTTTATTATTGTCTATTAAATAATCATTTTGTTTATGAATGTGTTACAGATGATAATGATTCAGATAATAATAAGAAATCGAAAGCTGGAATAGTTGTATCAAGCAATAAGTTTCTTTTTTTACTCTGAAATTCATTTATTTGTTTGATTAGTCACAAATGTTTACCGTAAATGTGATGGTTTATATTTTGGTCTCTATAGAAAACAGGAAGTCTAATTTGAAAATATTCTAATGATCTTAGAAGAAAATAATTTTGATGATAATTATTCCCCTGAAAAGCCTTAAATTAGTTTGTTAGATAAAATATAAAAATTATCAATAAATTTTCAATCGTCAAGATAGATTATTTTAAGTAATCTTTATGAATTATATTTTGTTTAAATAAAAGGGATGAGGGTGGGGGTAATTTTATGCGTTGACTAAGATTTATAGAAAACTTTCTTTTTTTTATTGTTTCATACACGATTTTTAAGTCAATACAATGAAAATATCATGTTCAAGATACTGTAGGAAGTTTTCGATAGTTCTGTATTATGATACAATAATTAATAATAGTTTCATTATACAATTGTTTACATTGCATTAGTGATTGATGTCATTAGATTCAAATAGATGTTGTTAACATAAACTGGATTATTTTAATTCAATCTTAAAGATGTATTCATAGAGACTATTGTTGTTTAGGTTTTGAAGGTGATCAAAAAGAAGCATAACTGATCTAATATATTTTTTGATAATTTAACAAGATATTCATTAATTTAACATTGAAACTACAGGAAACTCGAAATCTCATCATTTAACATTTTAAACCAGAAATAAAACGATTGAGGTAAATGAACTGCAAATACTTTTTTCTTTCTTTTAGAATTGATTAAGTACAATGATCAGTATTATATTTAATTAAATTTATAACACTTAGACAAATTCGATTAGTTTTTATTGTACACATTGATTTAAGCGACTAAATATTTATTAAAATGAAGCTTATCTTAATCTTATATATAACTAAATGCCCGGGTAAGGCCGAGGGTGAGCAGAGTCAGCTTTTCCTCTTAAAATGCTCTCACATGGCCACGCTTATACAGCCACTGCCAGGGAATTCCTACTCATTGGGGGTGTTGTTTAAGAAATTGAGAGGACGAAGAACGAATGTCCGGCGCTTTAGCTGGGTTGGCGGACATGGAGAGTCCACCTAGGGGAGTTGGAAAACCTTGATTCTAAATAAATCGTGCACATGGGCTCCAGTATCTTGAGGGAACAAATGGCGTACGAATCAATCGTTGGTCACCGGCTACCATGGTACTGCATCTCCTTACAATGCTCCACTGCCTTGTGGATCAGACCTTTAGGTCGAAGGCTTCGGATGTGACCCCCTGAAAAAAACACCTTCGGTTTGGGCACCCGGGAAGTCTCACAACCCTAACACAAATCAAATGAGATTTGTGTGGCACATGTATTTGGTGCCTCATTGTATCAATATCTATGTGTTCAAAAAATTAAATCAACTGTATATGATTCGATATTACTTATAGTATTTATATAAATGGAAATTACATATTATTTACTGCATAGAACAAGTTCAGAAAGAAAAAAACAATAAATAAATCTATAAAGATATAAAATCTTTATCTCAATTAGAGATAGTTGTTACCACTGATTTGTTAGATAAAATTTCCCAACTGGAAAAGTGTTTGTTTTTAAAAAAAAAGAAAACTAAATCAATCACTATTCATTTACTTATTACTTGTATTTATTAATTTGTTACAGATTTATCAACATGGAGTATTTATATAGTTAAATTGTGTTATTTTATTTATTTTTTTTACGAAAAAACTTGTATCACTTTTTTTTCTTATCGAAAATAATTTTTTTGTTTATTTCTCTTATTTTTCTTCCTCAAATCAATGATTATTTCTTTGTTACTCATTTGTTATTATTATTTTCTTTTTTTCTACATCAAATGATGAGTTTCAAATACTTTTTCATTTTATTTACTTGTCTTAATTCTATGAGAATTTTGTGAGTAAAATTAACAAGAAAAAACAAACGAGAAATCGTTAATTGTCTATTCGTGCATATATATATTTTTATTATTCTTATTGCTTTCAATTAATGTATGTATGGACTGTAAAGAGTTCTGTCTTTGTGTATGCACGTTTAAACATTGTTATATATATACATATATGCCCTATTTGCTCAAGTGACAATTAATTAATCCATGAAAATATTTCTGTGTTATCTCCAAAGAAGATGGAAAAAAATAGCATTATGTTTCATTAACATGAAATTGTTTTAGTAGTAAATTTTATTCTTCTGTTTTATCTTATTCTGTTTTTTTTATGAAAAAAACCGAAATTTCAATTACTTGAATTGTTATAGAAACATTTCAAGAATAAGGTTGAAGAAAAAAAGCTTGGACTGTTTTATTTTACTCAGAAAAATAGTTTGCTTACGATCGATATGATTGTTTTTATGTTTTGTTTTATTTTGCAGAGTGATTGTTTCCATGATATAGAGTTGTAGTTGATAATTGATTTAAAATACTTAGGTTATACCTCACTGTTCAGTGAGGTTTCTTAAAGTCGTTTAGTCAGTGAGTGGCGTCCATTGATTCTCTAGCTAGAGAAAGGAATTGTGATTAAGCATCTTTTAAGTGGTTCATGGTTTTCAACTTATATTAGCTCACGATGAATATTACCTTTATATTAATCAAAATCAATTTAAAATCTATCCAGCTCAGATCGATATTCTGAAATACTAGTGAGAAGGCACATGCTGTACAGTTAACCACATCAAGAGTAAGAAAGTAATTTACCAGTGTTTCTAAGTGAGCCTCATAATATATAAAAAATTGATTAACTTTGAAAAATACGGATTTCTGGACTTTCATTTAGTGACTTAGGAGGACTACATTTCTTTTATAAGTTAAAAGTCTTGAGTAGTTTCCTTTAAGAATGCACAATATTAAGCTTCTCAAGGCTTGGGTAAAACAGTTTTCTATTTCTCTTTGATTTCTAGTGGTTATACAATGAATGTCAAATTGTAAGGAAAGCCACTTTGAAGATTCATCAAAAACTGTACAAATAACCATTTTATTTAGATAATATTTTTTTAAGCCAAGCTTTTCAATTATATATTTGTATTACATTAAGAATCTCAGTTGACTATCTTACAATAATCTAATCCATATAACTTGTTGGAATAGTTAATGTAATACATGTATGTTTGGTATTTTTTTCCTAATCACTATGAAGGTATTCATTTTTATCTTATGTCAATTATAATAAACGTTATTCATAGTGGTTTGAATTATTTTTTCTGGTGGTCGACTGGATTATGAAGACTTCGACATCTGAGGGAAAACACGGCATACAATGGACAGCTCAGAACCAATTAGACGATTTAGACTTCGCAGATGACCTATCCCTCCTATCGCATACACACGAACAAATGCAGATAAAGACAGCCAGCATAGCAGCAGTCTCTGCATCAGTAGGCCTCAGAATACACAAAGGGAAAACCAAGGTCCTAAAACACAACACGGAGAACACCAACTTAATCACACTTGATGGTGAAACTCTGGAAGATGTGAGATCCTTCACATACCTGGGAAGTATCGTCGATAAACAAGGAGGTTCAGATGCAGATGTAAATGAGAGGATTGGCAAAGCAAGGACAGCATTCCTTCAATTAAAGAACATATGGAACTCAGAACAACTTTCAACCAATATTAAAGTCAGAATCTTCAATACGAACGTCAAGGCAGTTCTACTGTACGGAGCTGAAACTTGGAGAACTGCAACAACCAACATCAAGAAGGTACAAGTATTTATCAATAGCTGTCTACGCAAGATACTCAACATCCATTGGCCGGATACCATCAGCAACAGCCTTTTGTGAGAGAGAACAAATGAGCTTCCAGCTGAAGAGGAAATTAGGAAAAGACGATGGCAATGAATAGAACATAAATAACTCAACTCATCAAACAGCATCACGAGGCAAGCCCTAACTTGGGATCCTGAAGGGAAGCGGAAAAGAGGAAGGCCAAAGAACACATTATGTCGGGAAATAAAAGCAGATATGAAAAGGATAAATAACAGTTGAATATTTATATATACAGAAGCGGAAAGTACTGGGTTCGAGTCTCAGAGTGACCATTAACACTAAGATGCAGGTACATCCAGCTGATGAGTCCAAAATAGGGCAAGAAGTGCGTCAAACTTTATTTCACTGCTAGTCACTATTCATCTTTGCTTAGAACAATTTTCTTTGAACTAAAATTTATCATATTATGTTAGTTTGTTTTAAAATAGTTAATAACTTACTTGACTTGTTGATAAACGAAATCTATTCGATTCCATATAACTTGGATCTTTGAAAATATTTGGTAATTCTTTACCATGAGTTAATGCTATTTGTCTTAAACCAAGTAAATGATTATCTACACCATGACCAAGAATAGTTTCAAGCATAATTTCTGTTTGCCATTCCATTGCTTTACGTAATAAACGAATTTTTTCATCTGTCTATAAAAGTTTTTTTTTTAAAGTTATCAGTTAAAACTATAATTAAATTCGGTAAATAATAAATTTTATGTTGTGAAATTAACTCACTGTGAACTTTACAATTTACAACTACACATATTTTATTCAGTAAACTCATGGCAGCCAGTGGTAATATTCAAAATGCTCGTTTTGTCCTTTTCAGGACTCATGAGCAAGCCGTACATGGATCTAACTATTTGAGCGTTGAACACTGTTCCTATCACTTCAAACACCAACGTTTTATTTACTAACTAGCTGTATCCAAATAGTGACTAATCTGTTTAAAACTACAGACCTTTGAAAAGCAACTCAATTTAGTTGGACGAATACGAACGTGATTATATGTTCGTTTTCTCAATGATGACAGTTTATTACAGAAAACTTCCAAGGTATTTTCTATTAAGCATTGAATTTATTTATACAGGTATGTAAATCCATGAGACGCTGGACAGTAATATCGCGAATCGATTCAATTTGGAAATGGGGTTCTTCGTATACCAATTCAGCAGTTTTAAGTTAAAAACCCCAGTGTGAATTCGTTAAGTTCATAATTTAATCCATCTAAGTTATTGGTGTATACTGATTAAAAATCCTATGCTGGAATGAAAACAATGTCCAAAATCTTCTAGTTTTCACTAGTTATCTGGATAAAATCATCCCACTATCTCAAATATCTTTAAACTGTACTAAAATCTACCCAACCTAATACCATAAAAAATTCAGAATTAATTGCTATGGTTGTAATAAATTACAAATAAATTATTTTGCTCCAACTTGAAGATCTAGTCATTAAGGTTTATGTTAGTGTCCTTAATTATGAATGACTTTAACTGTTGAATGATTGTTTAACTGAAAATAAGGTAGGCTTTTGATTCGCACCAATAATTGAACAATTTTCTTCGATCTATTTACCGATAATATAGTTTTGTAATTATATGTATCATTACTTATTGACAGTTTCCTTCTTAACCATGAGTCTAGCTAGATTTATTCATGAGAAATAACTTCATTAGTGTGTCCCGGTTACTCTGCTAGAATTATGTAATCCGAACATTTTTCTAAAATAGAGTAAATAATGCTATAGAACAGAATTGGCGAAGTTAATCTCATGTGGGTTGAAACAGCTACTGCTAACAATTTATTTAGATTTTTATCACTCGATAATCAGTCGCTATTACTGTCTTTTAATTTTAAGTAATTGTTAGTTATCGGATTGAAGCTTTTCGTTTCTTTTTTCCTTACTTCATATTTTTCTGGGGGATAATTAGCTCGGCATAAAGCTGTATGGATTGTTAAGTCTCAATGAAATCATGAATTGATCAATGTTAGACCACTAGTGAAAGCCTGGACGGCCGTTTCGTCCCAGTATGAAAACCCTCAGAAATGCGCGTTCACGACTCATGACGCAGGAATCGGACCCAGAACCGTCGGTCTAGTGATTCTACGTTTTCAATATATGGTCTGACATTGATCGGTTTATGGTTTCAACGGATTATTCTCTTGATAGTTTTCATCTTACTGTTTTTTAAAACCCTTTAGATTATGACGGAATCTTTTAACGGTTATAGTTCTCGCACATTTTATATCTTCATCTTGTTCTACTTTTTAGTTGTTTATTACACATGTCAAATGGCTAATAACACTACTGTACAGCTTCAATAAATGATACTTCAAAAAAAGTTTTCTTTTTTGGGTTGTCCGTAGTTTTCTACCCAATAACTTTAAAAATTACTTGAGAATATTAACATTTTTTATTGGGTGCTTGAGACTGATACCTCATGTGCCGTAATACCAAAAATCTGAAGAAATTCTACATCATAGTAGTGCTTCTGAATGATGTATGTAAAACTTGAATTTACTCCATAGATTTCGAAAAGATTGGATAGAATCAAACTAAAACAAATTAGATCCTTGCGTTTTTTCGAAAGTTTAATGATTTTCTTGATGTTATCACTCAGCCACGTAATTTTTCTTTAAATAAATGGAATAATTTTATGAGATAACATTTTGTTATACGATATCTAAATAAGAACGAGTAAAATTACTTACTGAACATTTGGTCTGACCTGTCATTGCTTTGCACCATTCCAAAGCTGGCATTGAACAAGCTCTAATATTATCAACTCTAGCTAAAGCAAATCGTCTTGTTGAAGCACTTTCATAAGTTGGCACTAAATATTTATGCAATCTGTTAAACATGGGCAGATAATTTAAGAGATTAATTAATCTTCTACCATAGCTTTAAAGCAACTTAATCAGGTAATGTTACAAGGTGGTATTGTAGAGAAAATTTCGGATAATCTTGAGCCGGATACTTTCTGACATTTATTAATTGTTACTGTCAGATGATTGAAGATAGTCTTTATTAAAATCTAGACCTGGATTTTGAGCTAGTTTGCATTAATCAAGTCGGCGTATCTATAATTTTCAAGGGTTTTGATGCTTCTCGCGAGATTTGAATTCTTATCAGCGGTTGTATAAAAAAATTAAACCCCATGGAAATCAGTGAATATGGGGCATAATATGGTTATTGTCTACAAATTTTTCTTGAGCACTCATGTGAAATGAAAATCAGTCTTTGTCTCGATGAAATCAATTTCGCTGGTCGACATCTTATGTCTGAAGAATATACAACTTTTATATCTTGTATTTCAAAAAATGTCATGAAGTGTTACAATTTTTGTCAATCACATAAATGATAGTATTTTTCTTTGCAAATCTCTCTGGTAAGATGATCATTTCTGCAACAGAAGATTCTTCGCTGAACTAATCTTTCTTATTTTGTCTCAGTGGGTATATTCTGCTTACATAAAATTCTAGCTATGTAATGAAGAACTCTCTTGATGACAGAGATAACAACATGTTGTTACATTCCCAGACCAACTATCAGTGGATTTATGGATATTTTTTATCATACAGAAGTATGACTTTTGCGTTTCGCATGAGTAATTTTACAGAATAAAGCAGATGATCAAATAATATTTTGTGATTGTGGAGTGAAAACTATAACAAAGCTTTATGATGTTAGGTGGTTACACACTTTGTGCAGGAATCTTTAAATTAGGGTTTTCTATTCTTTTGTATTTAGCAGTAATCGTTCTTTGAGCTTATAAAGGATTTTGTGATACCCTTCAAATCGAAATATACTCTATCCACCCTCACAGTAAGGGGTATTACTGGATATGATGTTGATCGAGATTTACCTTCTTCATAACTGAGATTTTTACACGACCTGGTTACTTGGTAGCAACCGTATTCCATGGTACTTAGTATTGATCAGACTAATTCAAGAAGCCATCTGCTTGCAAAATAACTCAGAAACATCTCTGAATGCTATTTATCTTTTTCTTCAAGGTTAGACAAAATGATATTGGTCAGTAGTCTGCAATCTGTTAGTACAAATTTATGTTTATATACCGTGAATTGGGTGGTAGCATATTATATCTACTTTTTATCGAATGACTAAATTTTATTTGGAAAAAAAACGAAATTTTGCAAGTAAATTGTATTGTTCGTAATACCATGTAGATGTGTAATGAACGAACACTCAGATGGGGAAAACCAATTTATTGTTTGATTTAAAATTATAGTGTGCTTATAAAATATGAAAACCATGCATTATTTGCACATCTTCCATCAGTTTTTTATTACAAACTTAATCCTTCCTTCATTCCTGTTGTCCTTACAGTTAATCTGTTTACACTCCTGTTCTCTTCAATTTTTTCTTAACCTTTTGCTGACAGGCATTTCACTTCTGGTCGGTGTTACATACTACTTATATCTGTCAACACAGAAGTACTGAAAGGTTAATCGCATTATTATTGTTATTTTTCCGAGCTTTGTTGACTATTTCTATAATGCATTTTTGAATAAAAAATTGAAAGATAACTTGTATCACATCTACCATAAATGCAATTTTAAACTTTATTGGAACTAAAATGCTTTTAAAGCAATTAGTCCCTTTTATAAATTTCGATAGGACAATGAGAAGACGGAGTTGATCAGACCAACCCCGTCTTCTTTTAGTATAATAAACGAAATGAATCAACCTAGAAATAACTTTTGCATAAGAGTGACCGAATATAGGGATTAGCTTATATGCAACTTTTTTCAAAATTATGATTTGATATTCCAAAATGAATGTATAAATTATTTATTATTATTATTATTATTATTACTGTATAACGTACTTGAAATGAGCTAATTGTAGAGCTAATTGAATGAATGAATCTGGGCTCATGTTAACAGTTTTTGGGAACTCTCGTCCATATTGTTTATAACGAAGTATGTATAAGTCCAGATCATCTGCTATCCTGAAATAATTAAAAAAGATAATTTGTAATCATTTTCACTAGTAGATTTATAACTAATGAAAATTATTTGTATTTTAATAGTGAAAAATATAATGAGTATGCACTTTTTGATGAGAAGTACCTTTAGGTTGATATCATGAATGGATTGATGTTAGACTACCATTAAAAACCTGAAAGCACTGGATGGCCGCTTTGTTCTATTATAGAACTCCTCAGCACTGCACGTTCAGCGAGAAGCCGTGACCAGTGGAGTTCAAGCGTGTCTGTTGTGAGGCAGTTACTCACTGAGGACAATGGTGGATAGTCGCGCAACATCGTGGATTGGTTAGAGTTAGGCATTAACACCGATAGATGCTGGCTCAGTAGTCTAGAGCTTAGGCGTTCGCGTGCGAGATCAAAGGTCCTGTATTCAACTCCCTTTGGTGCGGGATCGTGGATATGCACTGATGGGGAGTCGCATTCTAGAACGAAAGGGCCATCCAATGCTTTCAGGTTTTCAATGGTGGTCTAACATTAACCCATTCATGATTTCAATCTAAACTCAACAATCTCCGTAACCCTAAACTGAAAATTACTTTTCTTGAAGATAATCAATTCTACTGGTTAACCATAATCATAATATAAATGATAATATTAATAACGGTAATATCTTTTTTATTACTGTTTGTATCCTTCATAAACTAAATAAGCTTTATTCCTTTACAGTTTAGAAATGTTTGATATAATTTATGTTATTTGTTCGAATTCGTTGGAAAACAATAGTTTTAACACTTATCGACCAGTTATCGATTTTATCTACAGAAATAATAGTCAATATTAGTTGGTTAATATGCAAATGTAATAATTCTATACCCTTTAGTTTAAAGAGAGTCCTATTGAAAGCAGTATTTACTGGCTATGATACAATTAAAAAAATTATCAGTCGAATGTATATTTTAATTTCAAATGGAAGTTTATGATTAAATTTTAGTAAAAAAAGATACTAATAATCATCAATATTAAGTTCGCTTGGTATTGTTTATTTGAATCTTCCCATTAATGTTTAGGACTGCAATTGATCAGTCTATTATTGGCATATGTGCATCCTATGCGGATTGCCTCGATATTACCTTAATTCACAAGCATTACAAACAAAGATGGATAAAGGGTAGCACTGGAATCCAGAACACACACTTCGTCCTATTTAGGACTCGTCAGCTGAATGTAACTGCATTTCAGAGTTGATGTTTACTCTGGGACGTGAACCTAATAACGTTCACTTTAAACGCCATCGCGTTATCCACTTAACTACTGAGTCCTGATAGACATCTGACAAGTCTCAAATAGGACAAAACTCGTGTCCTGGATTCCACTGCTAACCACTAATATATCTTTTCTTACAATCTCCAATAATTATAATTAAATATTTCAGTAGTTTCTTTATACATAAGTTCAGTAGTTTTATGAAAAAGTTTGAGATATTTTAGTTGTAATTATTTACTGCAAAAACTGATATAAGTATGAAAAAAAATAAAGATATTTAATTCAGTAGTAAATATAGAATAGCAGTGACCAGTGGAGTTCAACCAGGTCTGTTGTGAGATATCAGCTCACTGAAGACAATTGTGTACGGTGGCGCAATTTCGCGGATTGGTTGAAGTTAAACATTAACACCGTTAGATGCCGGCCAGCTCAGTGGTCTAATGGTTCGACGCTCATGCGCGAGATTGATAGGTCCTGAGTTCGAATCTCGAGGGGCGCGGGATGGTGGATGCGCACTGATGAGGAGTCCCACAGTAGGACTAAACGGCCGTCCAGTGCTTGCAGGTTTTTCATGGTGGTCTAGTTTTAACTGACCCGTGATTTCAACTATTGAAATTATTCAAAATTTCCACAAAAAAATACGCCTGAAAATATAGAGTAGCTTATTTCTTTATGATTTTTCATTCATTCACATTTATCGAAAATCATAAAATAACTAAAACTTTCTCATCATGTATTCGAATGTATGTTGGGATTGAACAATTCAAGTCACGTTTGTTTGTTTTTTTTGCTTGCTTTTTGTATTTTTTTTTTGAGGGTCATTCAATGAAATAGAATAACTAAATGAGGATAATGAAGTTTCCTAATTTTTTTTATTTTTCAATTAATAGGTAAATAAAATTAAATATTATCAATTTAGGAAAAACTCGGTTTTTTTTATAGATTGATCAACATCTAAGAAAAAAAAGCATAATTTAATTAAATCATAAATAGTTAGTATCCAAATGAACAAAAGAAGAAGAAGAAGAAGACGAAGAACAAGAGGAGGAAGAAGGGAGAACAGGGATAAATGCTAACAAATCAAGTTTATTTTAATTAAAAGCTAGTGATTTAACCAAAGAAAAGTCTTTTTTCTATTTCTCTGCATAAAATAATCAAAGAAATTGGAAGAATGTATTTTTGAAGGAAGTTTTACTTGAAAAAAGAAATAGGTAAATAAAGTGTAATATTTTTTGATTAGATTTGGAATGTTAAACATTTGTCATTTGTCGTCTAGTGCTTCCAGGTATTCTATGGTAGTCTAGCTTCAATTGACTCATGATCTCAACTATTGAAATTACTACAATCTTCACAAAACCCCTTTTGATATTTGTCATTATGTTAAGGAAAATATATAAACAAAATGATATCAACATATTGTCATCATGTAGGGATTCGAATCCCACTCTCATTAACGGTTATTATAAATGATAAACAACTGGCTGAATTGATTGTGGTTGAGTGAAAACTGCATATTAATCCAAATTAATGATACAAGCTCACAACAAACAGTTATCAGAAGATAAAATAACTTGTCGCTCATAAGCAAAATATTTTATACAAAATAACTAGGATTAAGCTTTACTTAAAACGTTTACGAATGTTAGTTCATGGTCTTGTAAATTAAGGATTGATTGTCAGGGTTACTTGTTACCTGTCACATAACATTTGATAGTTTCTACACCTTCTTAGTTTAAAACTCAGTCATGCATAAACAAAGCAAGAGCAGCATATTTACAACTGAAGAACATTCGGAATTCAAAACAATTGGCAACCAACACCAAGGCCAGAATTTTCAACACAAATGTAAAGAAAGTTCTCCTGTATGATGTAGAAATTTGGAGAACTACGAAAGCCATTATCCAGAAGATACAAGTGTTTATTAACAGTTGTCTACATAAAATACTTCGGATCCGTTAGCCAGACACTGTCAGCAACGACATACTGTGGGAGAGGACAAGCCAGATCCCAGCAGAGGAAGAATCGCTGGAAGTGGATAGGACACACATTGAGGAAAGCACTGAACTGCATTACGAGGCAAGCCTACACTTGAAATCTTTAAGACCAAAGGAGGAGAGAAATACCAAAAGAACAAATTCGGCCGAGAAATGGAGACAGACATGATAAGAATGAACAACAATTTGATAGAACTAGAAAGGAAGGCCCATGTCAGAGTGTGTTGGAGAATGCTGGTCGGCTGTCTATGCTCCATCGAGAGTAACAGGCGGAAGTAAAGTATGTAAGTAAATCACACCTAAACACAACTCCATAGTGAAAGTTGAAATTCGAGTTTCGCATGCTGTGCACAATGAATTTAGACTATCGAGTTAAATTTAATGGTTAACAATTTCAAATCCTGTCAATTTGTGGTAAAATACAAATAATTTGTCAAAAATTACAATTTCTTTAAAGTGTTTTGCCGAAAGCAGTACAAATACAAAGGTAAAATGTTTTTAAAAATATAATAACGGAGTCAGGTCACTTATATATATATATATATATATATATATATATATATATATATATATATATATATATATATATATATATATATATATATATATATATAATGGTTGTTCATTGATAAGTTGAATTTTACTAATAATATATTTTATTAAAAATCAATATCTATCAGATAGTTATGTTACAGTTTTAAGATCAGGAAAAACCTATTGAACTGTATACATGAATAGCGATGAAGAATATATTAATGAAGAACATTTACCAATACAATTATATCATAAAATTCTACACCATGAAGTAGGGAGTAGAATGTGGTTGGCTTTTCAGTGGAAGGTTTGTTAATGGACTAAGCAACGATGTTTTATCAAAATTTCGTGAAATAGTAAATTGTCTATGTTCATATTGGCTTTTTTGACTCTTATTTACAGACGCATTTTTGTGCTCACTCTCGGCAATTTTCCTTCATCTATAAACTGCTGTTTAGACACTTTTGTATTGTTAATACAACGTATGCTTTATCCTTGTCAAGAGGTATTCAAACGAAATATTTCCACTGAGTTTTCGTCTGCATTTTGTTGATTCTTAATGACTGCGTTTTATACGAATTCATTTTGAAATAAATAAATAATCATCTGAATTCGTCAGCGTCAGCATCTCTGGCTTCTGAATGAATTGATTAAAATGTCTTTTTAGGAACAATCAATCGCATTAATGTTATATATCCTGTTGTTCAGTATTAATGGTTGTTTTGTTCAGGCATTTAAGCACACAGACAACTGCTTTAATGGATAATTTTTTCCGATTCCCTCGGTCCAGAACTTATTTTTTTTAAATGCCTCGAAATGGTGGAAATATCACAAGTTATCTGTTACCCATTTTATTCTTAATTGAATGAGTTGTGGATATTTGAAGATAGTTCTTTCTACCTAATGGAATCAGCTAAGGAACTCTTAAAGATTAGAAGGCTCATCAGTGTCTCTATTCGTTGGTAGGAATTGGACTGTTGACTGTTAGATTACAACTCACTGACCAAGTGCTTTCACGTAAGTCTTAAGTTCAATCATGTTACTGTGGAGTTTAAAGCTAAGACAAAGAGGATATTTATCACTTCTTGGTTCTCAACAGGTTATCAGCTGATGAAATATTGTTATTAAAACTACCATGGTTTTACTAAACTATATAATCGAGAAAAGAAAGAAGCTACTTACTTATCGATTTCATTTAAGGCGTAGTCAATCATTGATTTTGAATTACTGTCTAAATTCCATTTCAGTCTTCTCGGATATGCCAATTCACATACAGATGGGAATCGAACTAATTTCCATCGTTTTACTTCTTTCCTGGAATTCAAATAAGAGGCAAATACCGTCTTTATTTTATCTTGCTTAAATTAACATACTCTTGAGAGCAAATTATTCTATAATAACATTTTCTCTGTCAAATAAAAAGCTATATCTTTTCCGTCAATACTATTTTAGTGTGACAATAAGTATTATTTCTCTCATATTCCTTTTTATTATTATTTAATAGAGACATTCGAATGAATATCTACTGATGGTTAAATTCCAGTGACCGCTGGATAAAATCTACTGTAGAAACAACTATAAATTAGTGGGGAAATCGTTTGATGTACAAAACGAGGTTTTTCAACTATTTTCGTAATTGTGTTCTCGTTACGATAACCTTCAATCAGTAATTTAATATTGATAGATTAAATAGTGACTAGAGAATGAAAGTTTTTGTTTCAATTTGAAGCAGTTTTTTATGAACTGGTTTCATTAAAAAAATTTCTGACAATTAACACTAGCTCTGTCGTATTCTATGATTTGTTAATATTACGTATTCATTATTTCGACCAAGGTACAAACCTGAGATTATTCAAGCTTCACAAGTAAAATGATCGGGTTTTGAACTTTTCAACTACTTAATGAAGACATTATTTAAAGCGCGATCGAAGTTATACTCCACTCAGCAAATTGAATAAGGCTCAATAACTTACATATATTGAAGAATATGTTCTATCAAGCGTACTACAGCGATTCCTTCAGCAACAGAATGTTCATAGTTCAGACCACAATTACCGTCACGGGAAATGATAAACTGAAAAATGAAAGTAAAGCAGTATTTAAATGTACTCACTTGCACCTAAAATTTGCAGATAGAAAACGGAAATACAAAATGTACAAATATATTTTTGCTACTCATTTGTAATCATCAGTAAAGGTTGTGGAGATTATTGAATTTAGATCGATATCATGAATGGACCAATGCTAGGCCACCATTGAGAACCTGGAAGCATTGGACGGCCGTTTCGTCCTATTATGGGGCTCCTCAACAGTACGCATCCATGATCGCACACGTGGGACTCGAACTCAGGACCTTCGGTCTCGCACGCAAACCCTATACTGATAATTATCATGTACTCACTAGTGACTAGCTTGAAGATAGTTTTCCTGTAGTTCCAGTGAGAAGCTGTGACCAGTGGGGTTCAACCGTGTCTCTTATGAGGCAGTTACTCACTGAGGACGATGGTGGACGGTCACACAATATCGTGGATCGGTTGGAGTTAGACACTAACACCGTTGGATTCCGGCTCAGTATCCTAGATGTTAAGCGTCTACGCGTGTACTTCTGAGGAGTTCCATACTAGGATGAAACGGCCGTCCAGTGTTTTCAAGCTTACAATGATGTTCTAACATTTATCCATTCAGGATATCAATCTAAAATCATTTATAGGACTGTAAATTTCACTTTCATTCAATTTGAATAAATTCTCAGAGTCTCCATTAAGCATTTGACAGAGGCTTTAATAAATAAATCATAAAATTTCATTTTTCCGATAAATGAAGTCCGGACGAACAAAATAGTCTTTCCTAAAATTTGAACTCATTATTTCTGAATTTGTAATTAACTAAATTTGTTAATATAGATCACTGAATTTAAATCTGTGATTAGAAAAATATTGTGATCACGATGTTTACTACCTATACCTTTGCTTACATCTCAGGTTACGAATTAAGAATGCTGAGAAGTTTTGAAGTAGAACAAAGCAGAAGTTCAATTCTTTCTAGTTTTCAACAGTTTTTTCGGCTATCATTTTATGAATATGGAATTGAAGTTATTTCAGCATTATGAGTATTCATTTCAGTCCTAAATATCAATGAGAAAATTCAAACAATCAATACAAAAATGAACTAAACTTCACCACATTACACAGGCTAACATAAATATGGGCTTAGTAGCTAAACGGATAATATGATGGCATTTGATGCAAATGGTACTGGGTTTGCGTCCCGTGGCGGACATCAACTCTGAGATGTAGGTACATCCACCTGACGAGTTCCAAATGGGACGAAACGCTTGTCCTTGATTTCACCACTAGCCACTATCCATCTTTGTTTGTAATGCTTGTGAATTAAGGCAATATCGAGGCAATCCGCATAGGATGCACATATACCGATAAGAGACTGACCAATTACAGTGCTAAACATCGATTGAAAGATTCGAACAACTAATACAAAAAATGAAGTTTCATTAACTGTTATATAATGTTTGAATCATATGTGAGTAGAACTGCAAATTATGATTGTTAAATAAACTGAATATTTAAATTATAAAAAGAATAATTTTATATCTTTCGTAGTATTCAATATGATCATGGAAAGTGCTGTTGGCTGCTGGAACTGACCGTTTATATGTAACTAGCTAATAGTTTGATTTATTTTTTTTTTAAATTGGAAAGATGTAAAATAATCAAAATCTATTTAATAGTAATAAGCCAAAAATTAGTATGTTTGATTATTAAGTGAATTTAAACTTAGTAGATAGTTCATAAAAATATCAAATAGACTTAAAATTAAAATATTTAATCTTTAAGAAAATTGGTACTACTTAATTTTCATCAGTGGTTTAGGTAAGATCAGTGTTGATGACTTAAACTATAGAAGTACTACAATCTACACAAATCCTTTTGTATTGATAGTTATTAAATACATTGAAAACAGTATAAGGACTGTATGATATGAATAATATAGAATGATTCAGAGAATAAAGTTAAATGGAATACAATTTTCTGATGTTTTAAACTATCGAAAGATAACTTTATTAATTTTAATAGTTGAGATCATGAGTCAATTGAAGCCAGATCACCATGGAAAACCTAAAAGCACTGTATGGCTGTTTTGTCCTATTATGGGACTCCTCAGAATTGCACATCCACGATCTCGCCTCACGAGATTCGAACCCATGTCCTATCAGTTTCGCGCACGAACTCTTAACCTCCAGACCACTGAGTTAGCATGCAATGGTGTCAATGTCTAACTTCAACTAATCCACGAAATTGAGCAACACATTCATCATTGTCATCAGTGAGTTACTATCTCACAACAGACCTGATTGAACTCCACTGGTCCTTACTTCTTACTAGAACTCCAGGATATAAATCTTGAAGCCAGTTACTAGTGAGCATATGTTGATTAGTATTAGAAGGGGTTTTTTGGAGATTGCACTAATTTTAATGGTTGAAATCATGAGTCGGTTGAAGCACTGCTGAGGAGTCCCACATTAGGACGAAACGTCCGTTCAGTGCTTCCAGGTTCTCCATAGTGGCCTAGCTTCAATTGACTTATGATCTCAACTATTGAAATTATAGATTTTTATTGTTTACTTATTTTCTGTTTTCCTTGTTGTTGTTGATGATGATGATAGTGTCATACTAATATATCGTTAAATAAAATAAGAAATAATATTTAGGGAGGAAATATTTCTGTTAACTAACATAAAATAGATATTCAAGTAAAATCAACCCATTTATATATAAAGACATACTGTCAAAATTTAATCTACTCATCTTCAGTGACTCCCATGATAGTTTTTAAAATAATTTTCAACTTGATAATCTTTTCTTTTTGATTTGGCTTGTCTTGGAAAAATATTTTTTCGATTATTATCTCTTTTTAAGTTTTTTACTCTCATATCATAACCATTTTTTGTTTTGTTTTTGGGGTAAAAAAGTAATGTGAGTAAAAATTATATTGAAAATTAGTTGTTTGGTTGTTTACTTGTTTTGAGGAATTTTATGGTATTTTATTTAAAAGTAATAGAATTTTGTTTGTTCATTTATTTGTCTTTATAATAAGAAAAAATTGGAATATTGAAAAAACCCACATACATGCACGCACAAACACATACACGCACGCACGCATGCACATAGACACAGACTTGTTTTCATGGTTGATAATCATTTTATTTTCTCAATTTTTCAATATCATGAAATATCTCAAATAAAGAAGGATAAACACAAGACATGGGATACATACCAACACATATGTACACACACATATTAATATACATCGACGCACATATTTATTTAATCTATAAACTTTTATAATTTTATCTAAGCACTTCTATTCTCTAGTGTATATTCATTATGAATAATAGGGGATAAAAAAAGAAATGAACAGATGAACTTGGAATATGATAAATGTAATATGAGATGAATATGATATTCCATGATATATTTCTTTTTTTTTTTTCTTTCTCGTCAGTGAAGTTTTTTCTTTTCCCTTTTTCTTATAAAAGCAACAAGAGAAAAATTTATTGACTTAATTTTTTTTTCTTTTAGTTTTAAAATTATTCGAAACCGTTTTTAAAATATATAAAATTTTCAGAGTAATAAAGAGAAATCTATTTAAATAAATAGCAATTTAGCGTGATATTTTGATGATGATATCAAGAAAGAGAAAAATATTGTTATTCATAACAGAAATAATAAAGATTAAGTTTAGTACGATTAATAATAATGATAATGAATTAACAAAACAAAAAAGAAGATTCAAATGAATTATAGATATTCCTTTGCGAATAAGAAAAAGAAGAAAGTAACTTAATAGGAAGTATTTTAACAGATGAACATTTTTTTTGCTACCTGTTCCTATCATCTAGATATTTATGGACAACTATTGAGTGATGCTAAAGTGATCTTGAGAGTGTTCATCTAATAACTAGGACTAAATGAAGGTTATAAACCAGTATGAAGAATTAGAATTATGATTTACAGTTTATGGTTGGGATTAGGAATTAGATTCAGGGTTTTCATCATGAACCTTTCGTTGTACCAGTTACAATAGGACCAACGAGCGATATTATGGCTGATAATAATATGCAGCTAAAAGTATGTACATTATTTAGATGTCGATTGACTGGACTGTTAACTCCTAACCGGCGATTACTCAGTGTTTATTGTCAGGATTGATCAAGAAATGAAAAAAGGAAACTTATTGAAATACTTTGAACTGAAAATTCTATGTTGTACCAAAAATATAATACTGAATAAAGCCAATAATAATAATAAATACATTTTTTTCTGTGTAATCGTTTAAATTTACAAGTGGATAAATGAATTACAAACATTTTGTCACTTGAAATTGTGGGTGGCTTAGAATGTATGTATGTGTATCAACAAAAAAAACAGAAGAGTTTGTTGGACTTCAATGGCATTCATTTAGTGATTTGTTTCAAAAATAAGGCCTGGTGTGTTCTTTCAAGTCTTCACAATTGATTAATCGCTGTATGGTGATCAATGTCATGTGTATCACGTTCTTCTTAGTGCTATCGATCAAGTTGCAATGTAGCCACTAGTCTAAGTGACTTGACATTGCGTCCACTATGTTAAGACGGTGATAGGAGGTAGTCAACTGTTGACTATCTCCAACCACTATCTTTTTCAAGTTTTATTTATAATTACAAGCTAGGTTAATAATAAATTATCAGAATGGATTGCAGTGATTTTAATAGTTAAATTCATGAGATGATCTAAGCTAGACCATCATTGAAGATCTGAAGGCGTTGGACGGCCCTTTTTCGTCCCAGTGTAGGACTCCTCAGCAGGATTGCTGATGCGCACTGCTGAGGAGTCCCATACTAGAACAAACGGCCATCCAGTGCTTCCAAGTTTTCAATGATAATCTAGCTTACATCGTATAATAAGTTCAACTATTAATAAATTGTTGATAATTCCTGGTCATCAATATAATTATGAAAGTCTTTTATTAAAAGGTCTGATTAACTTTATGACTATTTGTTTAACATTTAAATGTTTA